TTAACACCACTACTATAACGATTAGTATCAGCATCGCTATCATCATCACTTCCCAACAATTACTACGAGCAGCAAAAAAAGATCAACAGAACAGTCATTGTTTTGAGCTTTGTCCAATTGCCAGTTAAATAACACCAAAGAAAAAATGAAACAATTTTTTTTTTTTTTTTTGGTTTGTGAATTCATTATTATAACGCAAAAGAAAGTGCATAAAGTAATTGAAATCAGCATTATCAGAATTGTCAGAACAGTCGGCATTCCGAGTAAATGTTGAGGAGGAAAGAAGTGGAAAAAAAAAAAAAAAGAGACAGCAGAACGAATTTAGTGCTCCGATAAAACACATCAGTGTTTGTTATTATTTGTACAAATTTGTGTTGTTTATTTTGATATGTGTGTGTGTGTTTCTGTGTCCCAACTGTCAATTTCTATTTAAAAAATAAGAACAAAAAAATTACTTAATTATTTCAACCGGTCAATTCAACAGTTTAGCCAAATTATTTGCATATGCTATCATTTTTCCGAATCGTTTCCTCACGAACACTGATAAAACTAAACAGCATTGAAAAAACTTTTTTCTACCTTTTCCTTTTACTATCATCCAACATTTTGTTTTTTTACCATCCAATTTTTTTTTTCCATCTTTAAAACTTCTAATTCTTGTTGTAAAACTGAAATTAACCACCACTTATTTGTAGATTTTTTTGCTGTCCTTAATCCTCTTCGTCATCAACTTCACCTTTTACTGCTGTCACTTTTAGCCAAAAGTAAATGATAAACAGAATCTAAAAACTGCAAAAAAAAGAAAAAAGAAAACCTTGAAATGCGAAAAAAAAAATTTAAGATTTAGAAAATGAGAAGTTTTTTGTTTCGTATAACTTCTTAAACAGAGAATTTGCTAAACAGTAATAAGAAAGAAGAAGAAACAAAAAAGCTAACTTACATCATTAACGATGGTTGATACATCGCCAGTAACAGTAACCTGCTTTATATAGTCAGCCATTCCCTGAAAATTAAGATTACCAATTATAGTAATTAGTTCTTGTTCCACCAATTTTTCCTTCCTCTTTTTCAATTTTTTCTTCAATCGACGACAAAATGTAAAAAATTCTGCATCGGCGCTATTTGAGTAGGGTAAGGAAAAAAAAAAAGCACAGATATCAACAAAAAAGGCTTTTATTTATTTATTTATTTGTGTATTACTTCGTTGGTTTATGCTGTACGCTAAAGTCAAACAGACAAAGTCCTTCAATTAGTGCGGTATTTAAAAATCCGTGCGAGTCACAAAAAGAAAAGGTGGTTGAGCAACAGAATTGAAGAAACGTAAGCGAAATGAAAAGAAATATTGCAAAAAAAACATCAACGTTTCCTTTTTCTTTTTTTTTTTCCTCCTCTTCTCTCTCTTTTTTTTTTTTTTCTTCACAAAGTTGATGATCGTTTTTGCGGTAAAGAAAATTGTTTTTGGTATTCTGCAACAATTTTAGCACGACAGCAACAGCATCAACAACAACAACAACAACAACAAAAACAACAACAGTAAAGACCAAACAGAAAAAAAATTAACAAATAAATTGAGAAGTTAAAACAACAGCAAAAGCATAAAAAAAAAAAAAGAGAGAAAAAAGAGAAAAAAAAAAGACATAAATAAGGTTTTTTTTAATTGTCTTTCTTTCTTCCAGTAGTCAATCTTCTGACTTGATGTTTTCTACTAAAAAACCAAAAGAAACAGAAATGAACAAAAAACGTTGCTGATGTGAAACTATAAACCATCCTCCAATTCAAAGCCGAGAACAAAAAAAAAAAAAAAAAAAA